GAGCATCTGTCGCGTCTTTAGCCAAAAATGGCAATGTTTACATGCGTGTCGCCTCCAGCGAATGGACACCCATATCCCATATCCAATAGCTGCATCCAGCGGCTACATCCCAACGCGAACCCATTCCATAAACGCTTCGCAAACACTTTTTGCGTGCTGTTAATTACATGGTCCGGGAGTCGGGTCTAGTCGGTCTCTGAGGGCATTTCCAGTTGCCAGTTTGCTCCTCTGGTGGTCTCATCTCGACACTCGGCTTGCTTGGTCATTGCTTCCTGGTAGAGGCAATCGTAGAACTTGTCGCCCATGTTAACAGGCCCACGGACCCGATGATTGATACCCATAGGCACTAGGCCAATGTTAGTCCTAGTTAGGACATTGAAATTTTATAGGGAAAATTAATCAGATTAAGGCTTTAAATTACCAAAAATATGAATGGCAAATGCATTTAAAAAGCTGGTATGAAATTATGTTACTACTTTCAGTACACCTTTAAATCTGTGAATTTTGAATACAACTTGTAAGTCAACCTTAACATTTTTAATGAGTTATATTTTAATATTAAAGAATTTATTTAAAGAATTATAGCCTGTTCCATAGTTCAAGTCTTATGGTTTAAACACACTTATAGATCACATTATAGTCACCAAAAAATCCTCCAGTTGAGTAATCACTTCAAACTCCTTTCAATGTCATATAAATCACCCAAGATGTTATTCCTTCTTAGAAAATCTTCACCCCAAAAGAAGGTGGGGAAACACCAAGAACCCCCTGGAGTCTGGACCTGGCTTAAACTCACAATTCTTTACCTAATCCGCCAAATTCTCACGCCTCACCAACAATTGCCACTTAATTAACGCGTACACTCACTTTGCCGCGACTTGTGTCGAAAATTTTCATTGTGAGCCAAAGGGCCAAAACGGTGGCATAAGCTGGGGCAAGGGGCACCGAAGGTGGAGGCTTGAGAGTCTTGTCATGCCAAGAAGTACGCGTGCCGGGAATGCCAAGTCAATGAGATGCCCCCAGCGCGATATATTGCCCATTCCGAGCCGATCTGTTGCAATTTCCAAATCAAACAGCGCGCGAAACGTGTGGCGTCTGCAATTACAACACAAAAGAGGAGCACGGAGCAGTTGTGTGGCCAGCGGAGGAGGAGGAGGAGGAGGTGGAGGGCAATACATGCTCCAAACATGACGAACAACAACTGTCATTGTCACATCCATCGATCCATCGAACCGGAGAACCATCGGAGAGCCAGCGAACGCTCATGCGCAACAGCAAAACCCATCGATCCGCTGATCGAACCAGCAAACGATTGACGACCGATCGACCGACGAGGAGGAAGATGACCAACATGGGGATCCCGATCCGCTTTTTGTGCCCTGTTTTTTTTATATATATAATTCTTATTTTGTTTTTTGTTTTTGCTGCCTTTATAACTTTTTGCTGTGCCCTTTCTGAGGGGTATCAACTTTTTGCTCAAAAGTTACGAAATCATATTCTAAATTTGTAATATGTTTTTTTTTATAAAGGAAGTCACTTGTTAGCCTTTAAAATTACTTTTTGAGGTGCCTAAAGGCATGAAAATAATTAGATTGGCTTGTAAATGAAGTGAAATTTATATACAACTATGATTTTATAAATGTAAAAGTATTTTAAATCGTTTAGGTATGTCATAAGTTTCACTAAATTTGAATATCCTGGTTTTGTATTTATAATTATTAATTATGTACTCACTAGACATAGGATGAACCCTCTGTTCCTATTAGTAAATTTAAGTTCGAAGAACATTTATTTAAATTACAATACAAGTAATATTAGTTTGCATCTCTAAAAATAAGAAATAGGTTTTCCAGGCGCCTATCCATTTAATAATATATATTAATTAATATGTATGTATATCTTAGGGTATTTTAATAATCGTTACCCCAAACTCAAATTTCTTTCCTCTTCTCTTTATATATATTTTTTAGATTTTGTATGCTGGACAGGCTGTTTATAGTGGACGATGCTGGCGACTTGCAATTCATTAGGCCGCCTGACCATTTTTGGGATGAGCGTGCGCCGCTTTTGGTCTCTCGCCTCGGTGGATGCGGCAGTAAGGCAACTTCAACTGCAAAAAAGCCAAGAGGCAAGAGCATCGACTACCATGCCAACATAATCTTAATCCGCTCGTTAGTTTTATTGATTAGGAGCAGTGTCTCTTTGGGCCAGACAGCGACATCAGACCAAGACAACGACTCATTGGAGACGACAATTGTCGCCTCGGCGTGCCAACTAAATAACAACAATGGCACGTCACTCTCCAACTAGGCGTACTATGTGCCCCTCGGGGTTATGAGATGCGGATGCCCAATAATGCCAATAGACCCAATAGGCCCAATAGGTTGGCCAAAGTCCAAAAGACACTGAGGGGAAAACATTGGAATCTATAAAACTAAAACTAAAAGTTTATTTTATTAAATCTAAGAACCAGGAACTAGTAAACTTACAACATTTAAGGGGATTTCTTTACATACTATTTCCTACTTTTAATTTAAATTAATTTAATTTATTATTATTATTTTTATTTATTATTTTTCCCAGTGACACCTTTAGTGTCAGTTGTGTTATGAGTCTCCAATGAGTGTTTGAGGCGAATAGATTGTGAATCATTTACCAAGCATTTGTAAGCTTTTCTCTAATTACGAATGACATAATTGGGGAAATCAGGATGAGTTAGGTTATATAACCTAAAGGGGAAAATGTAGTGTGTAGTCTCTGATGTGATATTTAATTATTGATAGTCGTTTAAGCTTTGAACTGAATAATTTATGGGGTGACTTGCCCATTTTCCAAGTTAAAGTGTTTCCAAGAATTTATTAAAGTGCTGAACGTTGTAAAATTAATAAATATATTCAATGCAACTTATGAATTAAATCTATATTCATTCGAAGGAAATGATGACTTATAATATTGATGTTATTATACAGGATTTAATACGTATCCCTTAGATGTCCTAGAGTATTTCCTTCTTTTCAAGGTCTCCGAATAAGTTAAACGTCTCTCTGGCATTCTGAATCTTCATTTCCTGAACGAAAAATTATTTTCCCACCCGTAATTAAACAAAAAACGAAAAAATACGCAAAGAAAAGGCGAAACAAAACTGTCAAGCACTGTGGACACATGTAGCACGATCACTTTTTGTTGTGCTTAGCTTAGTCTCCTGGCTCTCCATCTTCATCTGCAGATCAGTAGCTGAAATCAGGATCAATGTAAGCCTGCCTCATCCAGGCTATGGTTTATCTTGCCCTCCGGCTCTCGTCTAGATCTGTCGGATGTCAGGTTGCATAGTTGGTCCAGCAATTGCATGTCGCGATCGTCCGAAGATCTACCTCAGTCTCAGCCTCAGTCCCAGCCTCTGAGCCACATCCTCAATCCTGAGTCGCTAAAACTTGAAAGCCACATTCGATGGCTGTGCCGCTGACAGCGCGGAATTGTCGTTCGCATTGTCAGCTGGAATGGGTTGGGAGACGGAGGGAGGGAGTCCCCTGGATCCAGGGATTCTGGTGGGGTTTATCCACCGACTTTTGCCGACGATATACAAAAGATGCAACTGTCGCCGCTTGTTCCAGCAGTTGTTCCTGCTCGCTGACTCTCTCTTCTTCTGCTGCTGACAGTTTGCTGCAAGAGCAAAAAATGCGCTTGGGAAACTGCCACTGCGAGCTGCAGCTTAAATCAAATATTGAAATGCCTCAGAGCAGATCGGTGGATCGACCCTGACCTGCAGGTACTCGATGCATGCCCCTCCTTTGCCCGGCTAATTGCAGCAAATAATTGCCCCTCCGCCAAATACACACAAATAAATTCCACTTGTTTTATTTTTTTGTAATTTTTTACTCATTGTTGTTTTTTGTTTTATTGATTTGTTTTCGATAGCATTCGCATTTTTCTGCTCGCTTTTTTCGTTTTGTTGTTCTCCTTCGCATTAATACTTTACAAAATTGAATGTCTATGAGCTAGTATAAATTAATTAAATATTATATTCATATCGAGCTATATGTATAAACTTAGGCCTAGGACGTATCGTTTAATTAGCCAGCTAAGTGAATTAATTAATTAGTAATACCTACATGGAGGGGGAGGGCGGAGAGAACGCACAACCAAAGGGCAAAGGTTTCAAATTAAATGCGTTTCACAAAAAAATAATATTTCATATGATTTTTCTCTTTCTTTTGTATGTGCAAAATTTCATAAATTCCAAGCAATGATTTTAACCTAATACTAATAGTTAATGTTAACTTATTTATGTACACAAAGGTAAAGTTTTTAATTTATTTTTAGCTTGGTAAACATTTTATGGAATTTTCTCAACTACATTCCAAATTGTTTTCCAGCTCTGGGTATTTATCTTAAAGGCTTCTCCCTTCACCAGCTTCGCATACGTTTTGGTCCTGGCCAAAACATTATGGAAACAGGATTCAAGGATTATTCGCAAAGGACAGAGAAGGAGCTGCGCGCTATTTGAATTTGTTCAGTCTTGTTTTTTTCGATTATTAAAAAAAGGATATTTTAAAAACGACAGAAAGGGGCGAGAAGAAGGCAGGGGGACGCGCTACGAAATCTTTAAACTAAACTATAATTAAACCTTAGTCTAGGGATACAAAAAACGGAGGGAAAGGCTTTGTAATTTACAAAATATTTTGCATCGAGGGAGGGAGTCTCTTACATGACTAAAAACTGGGCAAACACAAGCTGTATTCTCGTTCACTTTTTCTCAAAAACCTTTCATGAAATCTATTCATTAATATTCCTTCTGTAATACTGCTACAAAAAAGTGAGAGTTAAGGGGGACTCGGATGGTATTGAAGGAGACAATTGGTAGTTGTATCTTTAACTAGGCTATAGTCTAGGCTCTTAAGGTGCTAATAACAAAGGCTAAGCGTAGACAAAATACATAACACATACAGGCGGGGAGTGTGGGGCGGGGAAAGGCAATATATAGGTGGAGGAGGGTGGTCTCCTTATAGACACGTGTAGATGACCTTCTTGGTTCGACACAGCTTGCACTTGACCTCGCAGCACCAGTGGAAGGTGCAGGCGCATCTCTCCACCACCACGACCTCATCCCGCCGATAGCCACGCCCGCAGCACATCAGACCACATCCATCGACGCCCAAGGAGGTCTCATTACATTGCCGGCCATGGGTGCCCAGGATGCCATGTCGCAGATTCTTCTCACAGAAGCTGGGCGAAGGCTCCAGGTAGACCAAGTCCTTAGAGCCGGGTGGCTTGTGCTCAGGATTGTGGGGATTCAGTTGGAAGTGATATCTGCAAGGAGAGGAAAATAAAGAAAAGTCTATAAGTAAGCTATCGATAAAAGGCTAGGAATACTCTTTCAGATTTATCCTGTTAATTAAGGTAAGGTTAATAATATCTTTTGGTATGCTTACCTATTATGCTTGCGACCTTGTCGTCGTCCATTTCTGGCCCTCTGACCGCCCTGCGGCAGACTGTTTGGCGATGGCATATTCGGATGATGAATCTTGTTGTTCGGATGACTGTTCTCCAGCAGAATGTCCGGCATGTGATCGTTGAGCATGCGCTCTTCCTCCTCCCCGTAGACCACCGACTGGGGAATGATCAGACCATTGGAGCTCACAGAACTGGAACCGGCGGCATTCGGACTGATCCCTGGCAGGACATTGCTGGCTCGCAGGCTATTGCTCACTTGGACGCGGGTGGCACCATCGAAGCGGGCCTTGAGATTGTCACCGATCACCCGGAAGTTGGCCAGTCGCATCCAGCAGGTCTTCACCGTACAAGAGCCGGACATGCCGTGGCATTTGCACTCCTGACGCATCTCCGCCTGGACGTGCTGCAGATTGAGAAACGGAGAAGAAGAGATTGTTCATTAGTATGACTTTATTAGGCTCCTTGCGAATCGACTCGCCTTGCAATATGTTTTTCACTTAATTATTTTGCTGTTTTTTTTCAGTCCGGTTGTTTTTGCTGGCTGGGAGATTGGCGGCCCGCCTGCCACGTTGTTGCAGTTATTAAAAATCAATAAATGTTGTTGCAACTTGCTGTGCGCTTGTTGCAAGTTCCTACCCCCCTCCCTCTCTCAAGCTTGCCGCTTGTAATTGTTGTGCGCCGGACCAAAAGTAAGAAATCAACGCAGTTGGGGGCCTTCAGCCGGAGCAGCCACAGCAGCCAATGATCATCATCATCCTCATCATTGGACCACAAATGATCCCAATGATTATGGAGCTGCGGCCCATAACAAGTAATAAAATAATAACACAGATGGTGGGCCCTGCACTCCGAAGGAGTCGAGTGGAAGGAGACAGCGAGGACTAGGCCTCGGATCCGGTGGGATCGATGGAATCGATCGAATGGATCGAACTCTAGGCTGGATGCTGGCGCAGTGTGCTACTTTCTACGCCCCACTAAAAGCGGACAGCAGGAGGAGGAGGTGCACAGTGGTATTGAAATTAAATAAATTAACTTGGGAAATCGATTGGAAAATGTATAAAGAGTGATCACGAAGGTTTCAATATGAATATCCATATTTTATGGTTTGAATACTTATTCAAAAGATATTTAAACTAAAACGATATACACGAAAGTTACTTATTATTATAATTTAAGATATTTATTTAGTTACTTATACATTTCTCTCAGTTTTGTTTTATATTTTAACTACTGTACTGTTGCCCCTAAAACTAAACTAAAATCCTCCTATTTTTCTTTGCATGTAGAGGGAAACTGGAAGCTGTCAACGGTTTAATATACGATCGACACAAGAGCAAATGAGTCCCCCCCACATTCTCTATAGAGAAAGATGAAAACCATGGAGGAGAGAGCTTATCTTCCAACTACCTAAGCCAATTGGCATTCACTGGCAATTAATTGCGGGGACGGAAATTGTCGTCGCTGGTTCTTATTAGCTCAAAAGTCGTAAATCGCCCAGCCAGGCTTAAACCGAACATTAGGACTACTTATTACGAGGTGCACTGGGAAAAACACTATGCTTGAATTCGCATAGATTCTTTAGGTCCCATTTAATCCTTATTTATTATAGAAATACAGCTAAACTTACCGCTCGTCCCGCCTCATTGTTGTGCAGATTCATTTTCTCGCGCAGATTGCGACCCCGCTCGCCGGTATCAACAAACTCCCGGGAGAACTTGAAACCGAATCCAATGTTGTCCGAGCAGCCGCCCCATTCCCAATCCCGGACACCAGCCACACTGCCCGCCTGGTTGGCTTGAGGGGATCTCGACTGGTGGCTATAGTCGCAGGTGCAGGACTCGATGGTGCCCTCGCTGCAGGCCCTGGCAATAGAATGGGTAACCGCGGCACTGGTGATGGCATAAATGAAACTAGTCTCACGGCAGCCTGTAAGAAAAACAAAAAGAAAGGGATTTAGTTAACTTTTATAGACAAAAATATTTAAAAAACGAGAAGAAGAGTAAACATTTTTAATGGTTTAATTCGATTCAAGCAACTACTTATCATTACAAAGTTTATTCACTGTGCAGTCATTATTTCTCGCCTTCTGGGTGTTCCACTTGGCACTGCTTGGCTGGACCAAGACAAGATCTCAATCTTGGCCAAGTCAAGTGATGGCCAGAGAGACGTGGGCAAGAGTTGAAGATTCTTTTTTTTCCTTCGTTATGAGTAATGGCACTTGTCTTCCAAAGTCTGGTCAATTATGACACTTCAAGTTATCAATGCCACAGGGCCACCAAGGAAAAAGAGATGAGCGCACCAAAACCTGACACAGATTAAACGCTCAACTATAAATTCCAACTTAACACTTTGGGGCCATCGCTACGAAGTCCATTCGAGTGGACAGTTTCCTCCTTGTCCGCTTCAATTTTATTATTATTTTTTTATTTTTTGATTGTATATTTTTAGTAACTGCCTCCGTTTCTGTTTCGGTTGCTGTTCCGAGAGCGAGACCATCGCAGATAAAGAACAATGAAAATTGAATTTACATGTTGCAGATAATTTTTCAAGTGGTTTCGCCTCAGTTCATAGCTCACAAGATATGATATATATATGTGTATATAGGGATGGTCTACGGTCAGGTAGCTGGAAATTCTTGGGTATTTCGAATGAGTAAGCGACTCACTGGGAATGGATGGACTGTCAACTTTGTTTGGTACTTTTAGGGTTTAGTTTCAAAGAGTGTAAAGTACTTGAGATCTTGAGAAATTATATTTATAATAAAGATTTAACAGTCTCTAAGATAACTTTATTGAGTCTTCTTAGAGTATTGTTTAATTAAATTTTTAAACTGCAGTCACTTTAACTTCATCGTATTTTTAGAAAACTCCCTTTATAGTTCTCTTTATTTATTTTTATTTTTGTACAAGTGCTGATTGATGTATCTATGATTGACTAGTCTCCACTTGACGATTGACACATTCTCGCTTGCTCTAATATCAACGAATCAACAACTTCCGCTTGGTGTTAAAAAATTTTGCCGCTTTTGATTTCGATTTCCTGGAATTCGACCAAGAAATGATTTGTTTCTTTCGGTTTTTTTCTCATCTATTTTTTGTGGAAACTATGGCACAGAGTGAGCCTTCAATTCCCGGTTAATGTTTGTTTGTTTGCTGTTGGTGGTTTCGGTTTTCCTTAAATAATTTCACGTATGTAACGAAATTTAAGGCGCACACACAGGTAAATTGTGTGTAAATATGTGCAAGATGTTTGGGCCGCGATAAGGCGGCGGCGCATGCGCAAACGCTTTGGGAAATTACTCTGAGTATCTGAGGCGTGACACAGTCATCATATATTGGTGACTTTGTTATTTTTTCTGGTGATTAGCTTAGCAAGAATTCGCGTTACTTTTTTTCTGTTTTGGGGAGGCAATTTGGTGTTTGCATTTCGTACTCTCCTTTTGTGGTTTCTTTGGGTAAATAGCGAACAAAAGGCTATAAATAAGAACGAGCTGGGGCTGGTGCACCCTGAGCAATTAAGCAAAGAAATGCCAAATGAGCGGGGTGTGGCCAAAATGGAGCAACGAGGAAAGTAAAATAAAATTTCCGCATGTAATGCGATACCTTCTTTATTTTTTATATATTACATATATGCCTTGTATAATTGCCCAAAAACGGATTTCCGTTGTGTGTGGGCGTGGCTCGAACTGATTGAAATTGAGATCAGGGGAGGGGAATCAGAAGCAGGATCAGTGCAGGATCAGGATACTGAAAAAGGGACTAAGCTGCTTAGTGACAGCACAGCAGTTCCCGGAATAGTTTAGACCTCTTGATATAAAACCCACAGGGACAGCCACCCGGAGCGGCTTCGTCACGAACCGATGATTGCCAAAAAAAAGTAAAGGAGATGAAGATCCCTGACAGAAACCCAACGAGAATTCACTAATAGAGACAGCCTGTTAAAGCGTGTGGCGTGGCAAATTGACAAGGTGTCACCAATTAGAAAACAAGTTAGGGAAGCCTAACCCGGCAGCAAGAAATACAAATGAAATGCAGCCCAGACAGGCGATGAATTATGCCCCGCTGTCAGGGTTCCTTAAGAAGTTTTAAAGCCACTGGCTCTGCGTTTTAGAACCCCGAACCCCAAGTGTTAATGGTTCGCTCTAGGTGTTAATTAGGGCCAAGGGCAAAAAAAGGGAGAAATGGAAAGCATTAAAAAAATTTGATTGTGGAAAGCGATGAAAGTGCTACGATAAAAAGCTGTCACCGGGGCAATAATTTCCCTTTTCTTTTAAGTAATCCATAAAATGTCAAGAGCTCATAAAAAGGATGTTGCCGGCGCAGAGTCAAAATAACTTGATAAGGTCAAGAGCCTGGCTATAAAAGTCAGCTGCCGTTGACAGACGGTCCAAGGAGAAGCCACGCGACGCCGCCACGCCCCCTATCAGAGACCAAAGACCTAAGATATATATATATAGGAGTCGAGTTTATATAGCAACTACCTGGCAGGATCTCAGGAAGCAGGACAAAAACGGTAGCTAATAAAACGGCAGGCGAGGGCGGGAGTCTGAATAGAATGGGATGGATTTCCAGCTAAAAACGCGCCAGGACAAAAACTGCGCATGCGCGACTTTTGTTTACATTTATATAACAGAGAGAGAAACTGCTGGTTTCGAACCATTCTCCTGGGATTTTTCGCTGGCGCAGCAGGCGAACGAACGAACGACTAGTCCCAGAAGACAGACAACTGGGCTTGATTGATTTGAATGGCTGAGTGAGTGACAACAGTTGATTCTGTCCTGTCCCGGACTGAGTCACTCCTGGTCCTGGTCCTGGTGCTGGTGCTGCCAACTTGTGCTCATTAGCATAAACACGCTGAAACGCAAGTGGAGCAAGTGCAGCGATCACAGAGACAGCTCTTTGTTTTCGCCGGAGCGGGGAAAGTGGGCCCCCTTCGAAAGGGTAGCCACCAGACTACATATGTAGATATATTATATAAAATATATATACATATTACCAAGTGCTCAGATCGTATTACAATAACAAACAAGCGCCACACACATATTGCAGTGTGGAAGAGGTCCAGGGGAGTGACATTTCATAACATAAATAAAGTGGAAACTAAAGGGAAAAAAGAAACTGGATTCATGTCGGTTGGCCTGAGTTGGTTATGCAAGCAATTTGTGTTGTCAGATTGTAGTTTCTAGTAGTTAGTAAATGGAAAAACGAAGGCGTTGACAACCATTGATGGACAGATCATATTTCCCCATGGTAAAGAGTGTTTTAAGTGGGCTGCAAGGATCGCAGCCAGAGCTAATGATGCCCCAAGACCTTTTCTAAGTACATTTTCTTGAACTCACCTCGATCCACAATTTTTCCAAATAGATTTTTGCCTCGCGAAAAGTTTCTCGTTGAGCAATTCCAGCGACGATTGCGGAACTGATGCTGGCACTCGCTTATGGCCAAATTGGCGCCCTTAACCAAGGCTCCCAATACACCTGGATTATCCCGGACCAGGCGTCGCTGTTTTCTTCTCAGTGTAGAGTGGATGGCCGGATCCATATACATGATGGGTGTAATATTATTGGGTTCGCCGACCTTGGCAATGCCCCTGAAAGAAAACGAACCAGAAAAACCGAAAGTTAATAGGGCAATCTTTGTTGAGAATGGATGTCATAGCTATTTAATGCCTGACTGGTTATTTTGCGCCTAATTATGAGAACGAAATAAAAAAAAACCAGCTGAAACATTTTCATAGCATCTACAGCACTTTGTTCCCTACATATTTTCCAGGGTTTTGTGTGTCTTTCCACTTGACTTGAGACCGAGTTGTTTTTCTTTCGGCTTTCGGTGTGTGTGCAGTATTATTTTTTGTAGGTTTTCCATTTTGCGGCTTTTCTGTGTCGTTCATAATATTTTCCAACATTTGTTGTTGCTGGGCGGTACACGTCAATTGCCGGCGTTACTCAGGCATAAACCACATACACCTATTAAGTACACTCACATGGAGATAGACAAATATTTGCAGACACCTGTCGGCTAACGCTTTGCTCCGCTCTGACCTGTCATAATTTATTTTCTTGTTTCAACTGTTGATATTTATAATATTTTTTCCACGCTTCATTAGCCGATATATTTTATTTAAGCATATATAACAAGCAATAAATAAACACAATTAAATGTTTATTGACGGGCCTCGGAGAATGCAAATTAATTGCCAATTCAATTGAATGCTAATTCCGATGGGAACAGAACATTATTCGCCGCCCAAAACAATTGCGCAATGGCACACACAAAATTAATAAACAATAAGTACGTAAATTAGCAGAAACAATGAAAAGCAAAAACTTGATTGAATGTGTAACATCTGCCATAATCGAGAGGCAAGGGGAATACGCGGGGTCCAGTGATTGCCAATCGATTTTAATTCCCAGGCGGATTAAATCGATGCCCCAAACTGAGATTTATGCGACGGCAATCCGGAGTCGCGGCAGCAATTTGTGTCGATCGGTATGTTCGTGTGTGCCTGCCTTTGTGTTTTTATGTATTTTGCGTTATTTTTTATTGTTGCGACTGAAATTTATCCGTTATAAAAAGTTATTAAGGCTTAGCTGAAGTTTTGCACATGATAAAAGTCGAACAAACAACTCATCAAAAGCCAAAGAATCTCTGCGAGTAATGGGTAATAATAGTATTAACAAATACCAGTTAGTTGCCCAATAGTTGGCCTTAAACTTTTATCGTTTATGTTTGAAATTTGATTAAGGTTTTGTTAGATTTTAACTTTGGATCAAGTTGGGAAAGGGAGTAAAGTAGAATGTTTTATTTAAATAGTTTCTTTTAACAACTTCACAACTTTTAAGTTGTAATTAATTTTTAAATAGTTTTTAATATTTTTAATAAATTTATGATTAAGATTATAAAGTAACATTTCGATTTTAATTTTAAAACCAACTTGAACTCCTTATAATATTTAAAATTAATTAATTTTGTTTATTTAAGTGTTGTATTTTTTAATATTTTATAATTCAAGATAATTTCCTTATTTTTTAGACTAAATTTTACTTTTAAATTTGATTTAAAAATTTTTTCCCCGATTTTAATCGATGAACTTTCATTTGGAAAAACAAAAGACTTAGGCAACGAACTCGATTTGCCTGCAGCTGCTACTAGGCTTGTTTTTTTTTTTCTCTCTCCCCAGATCGGCGGTAGATCCCAAAAACTGGACTTCCCCTCTTCTTGCTTTATTGCCCCCCTTTTATCCATTCACCCAAAACTCCATTCATATCTCAAAGTGTGTCACGCATACCGACAAAGTTTTTATCCCAAGTAAAAGTTGAATGCGCGCTTAGAATTTTTAATTGCTTTCATCAGGCGAAGCGAAAGAAGAAGATGCGAAGAAGCTCCGAGTTGTTTTTATTCTTTAAGTTTTTTCTGTATTATTTTTAGTGTGTGCGTTTTGTGTGTGGCTTCCGCATTTGGTGCGTGACGCACAAGACCTTTAACTTATTTTGTGTTTGCTTTTATTATGTGTTTGCGGCTGTGGGAAATGTTTCCCGAAAACTTTCGGCGCGTGCCTTGTTGTTGTTCTGGCCAATGTTTCTGGCTTTAACATATATTTCTCTGACTGATGTTTACTGTTTTTATTGTCGCTTGCCGCTAATTGGCCACTGCAATTGAGCGTTTAATGGAAAATATTGGAAAGAGGGGACTTACCACCACATGGAGCCCCGGCCTCTGCCGGATTTCTGTTTGCCTTCGACGGCGGTGAAGCCGCTGCACAGGGCCATCAGGCAGATCACGAATATATAGCTGATATCCATTATGATTCGAAATACACAACACTCTCACACTGACACTGTGTATATTGCCTCTGCTTTTTATATTTTATTATTATTTTTTACTTCTTTGAGTTGTTTGTTTGCAAATGGTTAGGGAATATTTGATTTTATCGAGCAATTTCGCGTTCAATTAGCGCACTATAAATGAGGCATAATCATCATTAGCATGCGTTTGCCGATATAGCTGCTCATATTTGTGCGATTTATTTCGATGGCTCGATCGATCGATCGGATCACACGGCAATCATGGGACACATGGAACTTGTGAGTTTTCCGCTTAACAGATATAATTTTACAGAGTCGAAAGAACACTACTTGATCGGCTCGGTCTAGTTTTGCGGATAGATGGAGATCGGTGGTACAGATCGGTGTAGATCGCGACGCTTCCAGCGGAGGAGTGAATGATTGTTGCCGGGTTCAGTGCCAATGCTTAACTGAAACACACGGTGCGTTCTTTCGTCCGACTCTGCGTTTGTCAGCAGCGATCCGAGATACCCGAGATCCCCGATTCCCCGATCCGATCGCCTCGTCAGCCTTCGGTTGACACACGATTGCCGCCGTTTGCTGCTTGGTGTGCATGTGTGTGCATGTTTGTGCATGTGTGTGCTAGAGTGGGGCGGAGCTATGCCGGAGCTAGCATTCCCCGGCCATGCGCCAGAAGAGTCCCACTATCTGTCTTTACTTCTCTCACAGCGATCGATCGTGTCTCTTCTCTGGCTTCGTGCTCTCTTTCACTCGTATATATGTGCGCTTCTATTTTTACAAGTGTGTGTTTGTGTGGTATATAGCCAACGTCGCCCAATAAGAAATGGCGGAAATGGAAAAACTCTGCTCGGCATTTTCGGTGTAATAATCGATGATTGTATTGCCGGATTATTTGCGCAATCGGTCGAAAATTTCGTAATAGCGAGCGGTTGGTCTGTTGACTTCACTTAATTATATTTATTTGTGGCAATTTTTATGCTATTTTTTTAAGGGTACTTATGGGCTTGGTTTTCATGGGGTTTTTGACACGCTTACTGTGAGGGAGTTTTACAAAGGTCTTTAAGCATTATTTTCGGTTGTTGGGAATCGTTTATAAGTGGTAACATTTAAGTTTTATACGTCCACGTTTTGAACTTGGTAATGGGTTTAAAAGCAAAATTAAAGCTTGTTTAATGGTAAAAATATAATAATTAATTAACATTTCAAGTTAATAATACATTTGTAGATTTGTAAACAATTATTTGAGATTCTATATAAATTTAATATATTTAATTCAGTATATAAGAAAATATTTATTATTTTGTATGTTTTGTAATCCTAAATCTATAATATACTATATTTTGTAAGCTTTAAATCTTTCGTATACAAAAAGTATGAATAAATATTTTATTATTTAAACATATTGTTAAAAAATATATTATCTGGAATCAAATATATCTAGGAATTTCTTGATTTTTTCATTTATTCCATTCCTTATGCTGTAGTATATACTACCTCTATTGAGAACAAGTTTTCTGCTGCCTTTTCGGAGTAGATTTTTCGGAGTAATCTGCTGCTTATATACATGGCTCGAATGCAGTTAGCTCACTCACACTCACACTCCCTTGAATGCGCACACACGCACACACTATCACATTGGGAGCTGACTTTATGTCTTACCTTTTCTTCCACTAATTGGACATCGTGTGTGCGCCTCGAAAATAGCAGGTATGGTATCCCCACCCTCCCGGGCACCCAAGTCTTACGCAGCTTGGAAAGACTCCTCTTTTCCAACCCAATCTCTCGGCCATTTTCAATTAATTACACATTTATAAGGTACTTAGATTGTGTTAAAGTTTAAATTGTATTATATTTTATTATTAAATATATGTATTATTAAATTAAAGTGTAAAAATCCTGAAATTTTTGTGTGTTTTTATATTGAGTTTTAAAAAAGTAACACAAGAAACAGGAAGCTGAATATCCTGTTTAATTTCTATAAAACTTAGCAAGAATTTTACTTCAAAAATTATATTATTTCTATCTTTTTACTCGTCTAAAATGTAGTAAACAAAAAACAGGAAGATCGCTTTGCAAGCCAACAAAATGGCGAATGGCGGAACTCTTTCCTTTCCGTTTTCGGTTTAGGCCAAAAATCCCTTGGCAAATATTAGCACAGTCTGGGCCCTGGAAAAGTGTTGGGCTAAGGAAGGGTGGTGCTGACGGAGGAGGAGTTGCAGGAAACTACTGTGCCTGTGTCTGTATTTGTTTGCTTAGGCCCCGGGGCCTGAAAAATTAGCGCGTTCTTATTAATTTTATTACCGCGGAAAATCCAAATGATGAGACACACACACGCACTCCCAGACATTCACGGCGAGTGAGTAAGAACAGAAGGCTGGAGTGTAAATAAATCATAAAATCGGAAACCTCTCTCTCATACGCTGATGTAGGTAGAGCGCTCATCTCCCTCGGTCCCGAGGCTGTAAAAATAACCCAAAATATCGGCAGACCTACTAAAGTCTGATGGGTCTATTCATTAACTAATGGCTGATAGCGAGAGTGGTGGTAATTTCTTTATGATTCGTAATCATCGAACGCAATTAAGAATGTAGATCAGTCTCTAAGTGAAGGGGAACCTAAACAATATGTTTGTGAAATATATAGAAATTTTTGTAATGATATATGATTTTTATTTAGATAATAATCGAGTAAATTGGAGATACATTTTTATACCTCTACAGGGTATTATAATTTAGTCAGAAGCTTGTAATGTAGTGAAGAAGTCATTTCCGACCCCATAAATCATATATATCTGATCAGCATTAAAAGCTGAATCGATCTAGCTATGTCCTATAGAACATTTTTCGATTTTTTCAAAAACGATAAGGGGTTACATCGTTTAAATTTTCAAAAATCGACAAAATTTCATTTTCTAAAATTTTAAATGAGTACGCAGAATTCTTAACCTAATAAAACTAGTACAAGAATGGTTTCTGAATTAAAATTAATGCATTGACTAGTTATGATCTTTTATATTCGATCCATGATCTAGACTACCTGCAAGGTACCCATTATCTTTCTTGTTAAATATTATAATATAATAAAGCATGTTAAGTGACTTAAATTTCAATAGCTGTTCTGTGCCTATAATAAACTACTCCAGAAAGAATTTATGGTTTTTATGTAATCCCTTACAAATAGTTAGCACTTCACTAAACCTAAATGATCCTGATTACCCTTTTATTATACATATTCCAAGTTAAACTATTTCTCTATTAGTCAAAGCAATTGTTACTCTCGCTGTCAGTGTTAGGTTCCTATTTTGGGTTAGCCACCACAAAACAGGTCGTAACAAATTCGAGGCTAACCGAGGACCGACCTTCAATGCGATATGGCTAATCCATCAAAATAATACTCGTATCTATGCGTAAAACAACGCCACAACAATTCTAAACAAACCAAAAACCGAGTCCAAGTCCACAAAACCCCCGAGAGACTCGGCCTTGAAGAAAGACAAATATTTCAAAAAGTGTGTGTGTGTCCTTGGAACAACTACCAAGGCCAACGGTTTGGTCAACCAACAAGGAGCCGGGTTTTCTCGAGGAGTTTCCCAAACTCAGGTGATTAAAAACAAGTCGAAAAGTCAAACTTTTGTTGGAAGGAGGAGGCACTGTTCCTGGGTTCTTTGCACCCTTTAATTTTTTCCCGCCTGAAGGGGAGTTGTGCCACTAAAAGTGTAAAATCTCGTCTCATAATTGCAAATAATCGCCCGGCGACGAAGCGCGTCTAAAACGCTGGAGGCGGAGGGCGTTTTCCCTTACCTGGCATGATCCTGACGTGATCCAAACTTCCCTGCTAATCGCTCACAATCGGAATTTATATGGTCGGCAATCATTTGGCATCATTTGCAACTTTGCGTCTGTCCCAGGACTCCCTTTTGGCCCTCACTCTACGTATGGGCTATGTAGATGTCAAGCGTTTCCGAATTAGCCACGCTGTGTCCTGTCAGCAGAATTGGTAGAATCGGCAGCAGCAGCATCGGCAGCGGCAGCTACGACCACTGGCCAGGGGTCATAGGTCGGCGGCGATCGCCGCATGAATTTTCCATACCCGTTTTTGTCCCTCGCAGGGTGTGAAAATTGCTTCCAAATAAAAATTTGCAACACTGTCCATTTTATGGGCCTCCTGTTTTTCAAACACCTAATGTGCCGTGCAAAAATGCTACGCTTCGACTTGGAACTCGGAAATTTTTGGGATACGGAATACGGGGGTTCCATGCACCAGGCTCTAGGTTCTGCATAGGTCCCGTGATCATCGCAGCAATCATGGGCAGCTCGCGATCGCATCCTCTCCTGATCCTCAGCTGAGCGTGTCGTGTCTTTGTTGATCGAAAACAGTCGGGGCACTTGCTGTGTGTCTGCATGTTTTATTGCACTCGATTTTACGCTTAAATCCTGAGCATAGATCAGGCCAGATGATCGGCCAGAGATCGATATTGATCGAGACATAATGGGCATGACGCGAAACGATTAACCCGGCGCAAAAAGGTTGCAAGTGTTTTCATAGAGGATCAACTTCAGGAGGAGTGATCCTCTTTTGGTGCTCTCTTTTTTATATTTACCAAGGATTGATCCTGATCTATTATTTTAGTAGTTTATATGGTATCAGGGAAGGAGGATCAACACCATCAGGGTATAGATAGTGGTGTTTTAAGAATTTGGAATGTTTGTGTAAGGATAAATATTTAAGATGTTTGGGTTATTTTTAAGCAGTATATTTTAGACGGTTTATTTAATTTAAAATTACCTACAGAGTAGCTCATATTTAGTAGAAATTTAAACACATTTAAACCTTCTTTTCCCTGTACATAAATTATGGCGCAAATCTTCTGAACTAATTCAAGATCAGCCTCGCAGATCACACGATCTTGCATCTCGAACCACAGATAATTCACGCTTCCCAGCTGCAGCCTGGAAATTGCCCAAACACTCTTGGCCATAACAACCACCAATGGCCAGCTCCAGACTCAATTCCAGCCTCAGATCTAGAGTTTGCGTGCCTTCC